GCACAGGAAGATATGCAAAGGCATATTTGCTACTCTCAGAACCCTGGGACCCCAGGCAAATCACTCACAGTTCCTAGGCTTTGGTGTTTTTGTTCTCTCCAAAGGGGAAAGCATTAGCAGGAGGTGGCAAGCCTCCTTGGGATTAATAGGTATGCAAGTACTTTGATAGTATACCTCTTGGGTAATGTCCTGATGGTTCTAGTAGTTTTTTCTTTAATCACTGGAGGTAAAAGTGGGGTTGTCTGAGGGAGGCTAAGAAGGTCAGGAAGCCTTGAGAACAGAAGCCCCAAGAAGCAGGATCCAGGCACTGAGCCTCAGGCACTCTGTCAGTTCCCATCTAAGGCTGCCAGATCTCTGTTTCACTGGAGAGGTGGCTGCTGCAGAGCTAAACTTCCTGTACCTCTTGCCAAGCCTGACCTCTCCCTTCCTCCACTGTGGCCCTGGCCTCCCCTCACAGGAAAACCACAGCTCAACCCAGCTGCAAGCTGAACCCTTCCCCAGGATCAGTCGTCTTACAGGGAAGCCCCAAGACAGGGTGAAAATAGCTTGAATTTCTGTCACTGAAAGTTTAAATTTCCATATATCCATTAGCTGGACTCGGCAAGCTACACTATGTCTTTATCTGTAAAATGGGAAAGATTTGTATTTTGTGGTGGTGCCTGACCCTTCTGGATTTCCCATCCCAGTGATAGATAGCACCACCTGCTCAGTTGCTGAAGATGAAGGACATCTTTCTTGATATCCTCTCCTGCCCTCTCCTTCACTCTCCACCGTCATTTGGAGAGTAGCAAACAAATTTGAACTTCATTCTCTTCTTTCCATCCTCACTGTACTGCCTGACCCAGACCACTGTCGTGTCAGCCTGGACTACGACAAAGCCCCCAAATCTGCCTGTTGTAGACTTCCCCAATCTTAGACCATTCTCTACTGTGCAGCCTCACAGAACTTTCTGTGTAAAGCAGAGCTTACAATGCTTCTTTCCCCTGCCCCTATGAAATGTCCCAAACTATTGACTGTGAAGCTCCTTTCGTGATCTGGCCCTCACTTCCCTCCTCCACCACATTTCCAGCGCCCTCATGTCTTCAAGCTCATAGGTCTGCAGTCCAGTTCTGCATATCCTCACTTTCTACCCTGCACATGCCACACCCCTGCCTAGGCATCTCCTCACCACCACTGGCCTTCCTTTCATGTTTCTAATCATCCTTAAGTTTCTGGTTCAAATTTCACCATCTTTCAGACACATCATGGCGCTCCTCCTAGCACCTAGCACTTCTTAGCACCTAGACACCGTATCATGCTTACATGTATTAAAATTGGCTCCTCACTGTTCTCACTCCTCCCAGGAGAGCAGAGACTGTCTTCTTAGTCACCAGATCCCCCAAAACCCAGCGGGTGCTTACCTTAAGGCAGATGCTCTACCATCCAAGCCATACCTCCAGTCCAAGGGTACTTACCTTGAAAAAAGCACCAAGAAATACTTCTTGAGTCTGTAATCCCAGCTACTCAGGAGGTGATCAGGAAGACCATGGGTTTAGCAAAAAGTTAAGAGACCCCACCTAATCAAATAAACTTGGCATGGTGACACATGCTTGTAAACCCAGTTTTGCAAGAGATATAAGTAGGAGGATTATGGTCTAAGGCTGGCCCCAGGCAAAAATGGGAGCCCCTACCTGAAAAGTAGCTAAAACAAAAAAGGATTGGGGGCATGGCTTTAGACACAGGCCCTGAGTTCAAACCCCAGCACCACCACCAAAAAGAAAATTTTTTTTAAATAATAAAAGCATAAATCCAAAATACAAGTAAGTTTCCTAGCACAGTGAATAGCAAAAAAGTGTTAGTAAATATCGCCATCATCATCAAGATGCTTTAGTCCCACATGGGGCCATATTTCTCCCTAATAGGAAAATAATTCAAAATTCACGTCCCGCCAACAGTGAGGTGAAGTGGTGTGACAGTCCCAATGTCTGTATGACCGCTCCCCACCCACCCCAAGTCCATTGATGTTGGTTGATCTGTCCATCCCTACTGATATCTGCTTCTTACCCTGACTCAGGCCTCTTCCAGGCAGGAAAGAAATAGCCCCTCTCTCCCTGGAACTTGACCTGTGATCACAAAGTCAGTGACTTCTCCTTTTTCACCAGAAGCTCCCTCATATACTCCCTGATTTCCCTGGCCAGATCAGGGGAGATGATCTCTGCGACAGATAGCCTCAGCATCCCATGGCATGGCGTTAGAGGTTGGCAAGAGAGCTTCCCATAGAACCCCATGTGCATTTCAGCAAAGGCACATGTAACTGACTTCTTGAATCATCATGGTTCCTATCCATGTTTTATATGGATCATGCAGTCCTTCAGGATCTTTGAGCAAAGAGATCATGTATCAATAACCTCCACCCCCAAAAGGCCTGACATAGAGTAGAATCATTGAATGAATATATGAATGAAAAAATGAGTGTGTAACTGAGCATTCCCAGGCAGAGCTGCTCATTTTCCTCCATTAGGAGATGAGATTTGTCCTATTTATTGAAGACATTCTTCCTGACCCTTCAGAGATTCCAGAGGCTAATAACCTTCAGAGTCAAGAGGATCATTTTTCCTTGTCTAACCTAAATTTCTCTAGATGCAACTTCAGGGCATTTTCTTCTAATCTACCTCCCTGGCCACTGGGACTGAAACCCATTTCTTTGCAAGGAGACAGTTACTAATTTACTCTTTTAGCCTTTTCTTCAACAAACTTAATCCCAGGCTCTTTATTGTTCCATCCCTGGAGTCTTGTTGTCCAGCCCTTTCCCTGTTCCACTGCTTCTTGGGACTTTTGCCAAGTTCTGAAAGGCCTCCTTTAGCTGTCGAGGCAGGAAAAGGACATATTGTTCTCCACAGAACCATGTACAAACACACAGATACCTATGCACACAGGACCAACACCTGTGCATTCCCATTATTCCCAATTCTGGGTAAACACACACTCATAGGCAGCCTCCTCACTCAGTCACAGATTCATCTCCTCCCACTTGCAGCCCCCGCTCCCTAATGTAGTGAATCCTTACACTCCTAGATGCACACTGACACGAATATGAATAGGCTGCAGGGATCTATGCTTTTTACTCACAGGTGAGCCAAACTGGGTGGAGCATCTGAAATTCTATTCCTTTCTCCTTTCTATTGGCCACTATGGGCCAAACCTACTTTCCCTCCACCTCCAGTGATTTTCCACTTCAAGGCTAAAGGCAAAGAGTAAATGAACCAAAGTTGGCTCCTACGTCTTCCTCCTGCCCTCCTCCCATTCTTTGTTTCTCAAACCCTCAATGTACCTCCTATTTGCCCAGATCACACATGCCACCCTCCATCCCCTTCCCAGCCTCCTCTGTCTGTAGGGAGTGAGGTTTCTTTTGTAAATGAGCAATGGGGAAGCAAGGAAGTTAACAAATGAGCTGGGCTCCATTTCAGATCCTGTGACAGGTTGGGTTGGCTTGACCCTGGACTGGCAGGGCACTGTGTTACTAAGCCAGGGGATTCAAGAGCAGGAGGGTGGTGTGAAACTCATTCATTCATTCAACAAATGTTTATTCAGAACCTACCACATGCCAACACTATGCCATACAAAAAAACCCAATAAAAACCTGCCTCTGTACAGTGTACATTCTATGAGTGGAGACAGGAAATAAATAAGTAAAACATACTGGTATCGGGTGACAATAAATGAAATCGGGGAGGATGGGATGGAGTGTGTAATTTTAAGTAGGGTGGTCAGGAAGGGTGACATCTGAATGAGGGCCTGAAGGAAATAAAAGAGCAAGCCATCATGGGACCTGGAAGGAGATTCTTCTAAGGTGGTGGAATAGACCCACAAGTGCAGCACTACAAAACACCACTGTAGACAGCCAGGGAGAACAGGGTGCCAAAAGATGACAAGGAAAGGGGACGTTATACAGAGTTGTTCTTCCTCATGTCAGGGCTGGAACCCATTCCAGGGCTCAGAGCCTGAAATGGTAAGAGGTCAAATCAGGGATGAAACTGTGACCTCTGATGGGACAAAATGCTAAAAAGCAAACAGGAAACATGAAATTTTGAGATGCCTGTTGGAGGCATTCAAAAGGAAGGAACTGAACCTGCAGTGAGATTAAGAGGAGGCCTTGAGATTTCGCTCCAAGAAAGCATGCCAGGTGTGGTCGGTAGAAGAGAGGTAAATGCCTGTCAAACCCAGTTGGGATTAGCTTTGAAAATATTACTCCAGGGAGTGGGAGGCAGCCAGCTGAAGCTGCCTTGACTAGTGGTGAGAGGGTGTGGTGCTGTTGAGTGTTAACTATCTCCTAGCCCCCACATTTCCACTGCTGGAGCGCTTACTATATGCTAGCATTCACTATGCAAAGTGCTTTCCAGGAGGGTCTCGTGTAATCGTCACAGCACCTTTCGGAGAAATTATACTCTTTAGTTTTCAGTTGAGGAACACCACTCTACCACCTTCTTATTCCCCAGTCCCTTCAAGACCCCACTTGTGACTGTTCCATTCCAGAACAGCACAAGGTGATCTGGACCCTCAGCCAGGTTGACTTGGGCTCAAATCCCTGCTCTTCCACTCAATTGCTATGTGCCCTAGGGCAAGTTTCTTGCCCTTTGTGAAACCCAGGGTATAAAATGGGGATAATAATACAGAAGTGTCTACTTCCTGGAGTTCTGTGATAATCCACTGGGAAGAACCTATATTGGTACTGTGGCATATCATGTCTCAGAAATGTTGAAACATATGGCCAATAACTTGTAGCTTTAAATAGTTAAATCAGGAAAGTGGGGTTTTGTTTCTTGGGGTTTTTTTTAGTATAAATACCAGTGAATTCGGTGTTTTCTCTGCAATGACGTCACTCCTACTGGCATTCCACAAAGCCTTCCTGAATAGGAGATAAAGGGGTGGAGTGACAGCTAACCCTCTAGGAATTTGCACATAGGCTTCAGCCTATCTTATTTGTGCCACAGCCCATGGGAGTGCAGCAAGCAAGCAAATACCACCTCTCCCATGGCAAGATGTTGGAATGAGGTCGAGAGTCACTGATGGCTATAAAACACTGGCATGGGGGCTGGCACACAGTAGGTGTTTCTAGGAAGAGACATCCACAGTGAGGTTAGGGAGTGTGTGTGGGAAGAGAATGAAAGCACTTTGATTGTAAAACACTGCATAATCTGTCACAGTCAGCCAGTGTTACGGCTTTCTTCCCTCAAGGAGACAGGAGATATACTGCAGCAGAAGGGGAAGAGGGACATAGACCATATCCCTAAGCTGGCTAATGGGGATGGGACCTAATGGGGGAGGATGGCCCAAGGACCCTCAAGCAAGTTCTCTAGGAAGATACCCAGACTGCTCAGGAAGTCTTGGGGTAAATGTGACACCTGGAGGTTGCAAACTGTGGGTTCATTTCTGGGTTTGGCTCTGGGGCAACTGGAGATGTGACCCAAAGTTGAGTATCTTGGTCAAAGGCCACTATCTAAAAGAGAAGCTTTGCTGTAAGGCTCTCCCCAGCATGCAGCTTCAAAGTGTCTGGAATCAAACAAGGCTTCTTCCTGTCAGCCATCAAATCATCCTTGCTCACTTGCCAGATTTTGGTTCCTCTTCACTGTTACAACCCCACCCTCGGCACCCAAGCTGGTGTGGCTGACTCCAACACAGACCACCTTGTCCCAAGACTGCCTGAGGGGCCTCTTACCTAGAAACATCTGTACTTACCAGGACTCAGAGCTTTACCAACATCCTCCACCCTCCTCCAGTGGCTGAGCTGTTCTGGCTGGAGAGACAGGCCAGCCAGAATCACAAGGCAGGTCTGCCCCATTCACTAGGTAGCAAGGGTCTCACCTTGCTGCAAACGCTGCCCATACATTTTGCATTATAGCTCCGTCCCAAGAACAATTGTAAAGTCCTGTCCCTTCTCAATTCCAACCTGCCTGCCCTAAACCAAGTGACAAAGAGGATGATGAAGGAAACTGAGGGCTTAGTATTGCAATCTTTCATCTCTGCCCTCTTGCCTATACTGCTCTCTGCATTTTGGTACATTTCCTCCTTTCCTCACAGTGGGCACAGTAGCCCTAGACACAGCCAGAGTCCATTCAAAAAAGATTGGGATTCTTTATTTAAATCAGCAAGTTCATATTCTTTAAGCCCATGGTGGGCAGCTCTCCCACTTCTGTCCCCCCAACCCCTCCCCTTAGCCACAGCAAGGGAATGGAAAATAAGAAGCCAAGACGTCTCTGCCAAGAAAGGCTGCCCCAGATGTGATAAGCACAGCCCAGCTGTAGCTGGGGTGGCAGCCGCCATAATCCCCTCCCTATAAATTAAGTCCCTACAGCCACAGCTGTGGGAGAGGCATAATTGTGGAAGAAAAGCCAGTGCACATCAGGCCACAGGCAGCATCGCTGACTCCCAGCCAAGGAATGGACTGAAAGCATAGAGCTCAGGGTTGGAGGAGGCCAGAGGGAAAGAGAGGCATTGTGGGGAGAGGAGAGCTAAGGGCCCCAGACTTTGGTCCCAGGGGAAAAGTTGGTCCAGTTTTGATGAGTGTGGGGAAGGAATGTATTAGTAAGCACAGGCGGAGAGGCTGCCATCAGACATCCCCATAGATGACAGAATAGCTTGGACCCCCCCGCCTGGCAGAGTGGAGCTTAAGATCTCTGGGGCTCTCATGGAATGTCACTACTAAAACATATATATATATATATATACATATATATTAACCATTCATGGAAGAGCAGGGGCAAGGGTGGGGCAGGATCAGAGGATCTGGCGTGGCATCCCGTAGCCAGTCATGCCTGCCTGAGAGGCCCCACGGTTGGTGCCCATCTGTAACCCAATCACATTCTTGCCCTCTTGCAGCTGGTTGTCTGAGAAGTTCCGAGGGTTCTCCTTGGATTTCCTGGGTGGAAAGGGAGCAAATGTTAGAAGAAGGGTGAAGGCTGCCCCAGTAAATTCTTCCCTGGACAGAGTATAGGCTTTGCTGTGGGCTCAAGAGCTGGTAAAAGATCTCTCCTCAAGAGCCTTAAGCTATCTAAAGTTACTTCATCATCTCTCCAAAGGGACAACCACCTGTGGAAGTTGTGAGAAGTAAAATGAGTTATATGAAAGTGCTTTATAAAGAACTGGCTTCTACAGAGACATCATTTACTTCCTAGGGACAGGAATGCGCAAAAACACTGTGTCAGCAGGTCTCTGTGCTTGTCCCAGCAATACTTACTTAGGAAACCAGTTGGGATCTCCAGAGAAGAGCCCATCATCCCTGGCTACTGCCAGACCACCCAGGTTCATCAGTGTCCGCTGCACACAGGCCATGTTCTTTCCTAGGAAGGAGAGACGAATGGCTTGGCCTTAGCAGGGCTAGAGTTCTAGAGGCCAGAGTTCCATCTCTATCAGCAAATCAGCAGACTTGACTTCCAAACTCTTTTTACTACTTGTTTCCATCCAACCCACAACATTGCCAACTTCTCCATGACACACACACACACAGAGTCCCAAATCTGTCCCTTCTCCCTGGTCAAGATGGCCCAGCCCAATCCATGGTCTCCTGGATGACAACTCTAGGTCCCAGCCCTGGCCCACCTTCCCAGAGATCCACAGTTTGGAAGATGTCAGTGGTATTGATGCCATAGCGCTCAGCTGCCTGCAGGAACTGAGAGATCTGCTCCATCTGCTTGAAGGCCATGGTGGAGGCCTGGATCTTCTTTACCGGGGCCTGCCCTTCAGGGTACAGTGCATTAATGAGCTCACACAGCACCTGCATGAGGATAGCAAGCATGCAAAGGTGAGGACATGCCTAGTGCAGATCAGTGTGTATAACCTTCAGCACCAGAGATAGTGACCAGAGAGGTTCTCTCGCCTGGTGGGAACCCTTTGAGCATCAGGTTCTCTCCTGTCCAGTACCCTGCCTCTGAGCCCAGAGTGAAGAGCCAGTGTTTAGTCTTTCTTGCTATTCCAGGATCACTGTCAAGAGCCCACCCACCCTCTTTCCTTAGATCTAGTCTTCCTTGGTGTCACCTATGGCCTTCACTGCAAGGAATATATTGACCCTTCCCTTCCCTGGATGGAGAGGGAGGAACACAAGGGTCCTCTCACATCCTCAATAATACTTTCAGGTTGAGGAAGAGGTTGGGACTGCATGCCCTCATTCTTTCCTACTTTAGGTTAAATAACCTCCAGTTCTCCAGAGCCAGCTCTGTACCTCCAGTCCAGTGGGGACCCAGCACTCACAGTGCCATCCTTGAGCCAGTTCTGGAAGTTCTCACGCCCAGGCTGGGGCCTGCCCACATCCTTGCGGCACTGAGTGGTGATCCACTGGATCAAGATCTGCTCTAGGTCTGCATCATACTGTTTCTCAATCTTCTGTTGCACCTCCCGGCTCAGGCCATATGCAGGTCCCCTGTTAGCCATACTGAACAGCTGTGGTGCCTATAGAAAGCTGGGGAGAGGAAATAAGCAGACCTATGGTCAACACTCTGACCCATGGGGTAGAGGACTCTGCCTGAGGAAACACATACTGTATCCCACAGGACTGGCTTCATGGGTGATGACCAGAGCTGTTGTCAAATGAGGGAACTCTCATCTCAGCCCCTGGACATGGGCTAGCATAGCACTGCTCAGAACTCTTGAGAGGTGTGGGGCCTCTCAATCTCTGGACTCCTTCACCCCTGTGACAAGCAGTCCACCTATTATATTGAGGCTCCCCACTAAATTTCATTTGAATGAATGGTTCTATTACCAGAATGAAGCCTAGACACACTGGAATAGAATGTGAAGTAAATGGCTGGGGTTCAGCTCACTTAGGGTCAGCAGCTTTTATAAAGGCAAACCGATCATTCTAACTCCATTGCTGCTCTTTACATTCCTAGGAAAGATAAGGATTCAGGGAGAACAATATGGAACAGCTTCAGAACCCTATGCCATGAGCTGGAGGACTGAATAGATCTAAAACCTCTGGGTTTTAACTGAGCACCTACTATTTATGCTAGGAATTGAGGAAGGGGTAGAAGCCTTAGATCCTAAATTGCCCATAGTGCCATCAAGGGAAAAAATGTAGTATGTACGACAGGGTAAGGATTGCATACAATGGATGTCAAACAGCACAGTTCAGATCACGTTATGGGAATTAATAGACAAGGAAAGGCAGAAGCAGTTGGGGGTGGGGGTTGCTGGAAGAGGTAGGCCTCGGTAGGCCCTTACCACATTTTAGCAGGCAATCGAAAAAAATTCTCATTTCCTTCTAGGAGCTATGGCACACAGAATAATGTGCCCCCTCCTACCAGGTGTCCTTGTCCTAATTCCCAGAACCTGTGGCTACATTACCTTACATGGCAAAAAGGAATTTTGGAGATGTGATTAAAATTAAGGATCTTGAGATAGATTACTCTGGATCATCCAGGTGGGCCTAAAGTCATCATAAAGGTCCTTTCTAAGTAAAAGAAGAAGATAGGTGAGTCAGAGTGGGAGAAGAAGTGACGAAGGAAGCAAGAGGTGGAAGTCATGCAGGGTCATGAAACAAGTCGAAAAAGGCAGGAAATGGATTATCTCCTAGCCACTCCCCGCCCCCAAAATGCACCCCTGCCAACACCTGAACCTTAGCCAGTAAGACCCCTAATTTGGAATCTCCAGAACTGGAAGATTTGCATGTGTCACGAAATTCGTACTAGTTTGTTATAGCAGAAACAGGAAACTAATACAGGAGCCTTGGGTGGCATTTTAAGGAAAACCTGGGAAGAGAAGGAAGGATGGAGAAGTTTACAGAGGGTTTCTTTAACTTAGTTTGGAGGGCCTTGGTTAGCAAAAAGTGGGTGGTTTCTGACCACTGGCCTGAGTTGGCAGCACCTCACCATGGGCCCCACCCACCACCTCACCACCAAAGTCCCACACTCAGGGGCTTGCCAAGCAAGTCCTAGGAATGCTGCAATGCCAAGGGGAGCCAGGAACAGAGGAAGGAAACAGTCCCCCACTTGCTGCCCCCCCAGGACCTCCTTAAATGGGCTCTTCTCTCTGCTGCCTGTCTCTGGTTCACAAAAGGAGATCTCCAGGATAGGCACCTTCATTCAACAAGAGGAAAGGGAGTCACCCCTTCTCCCCACATCTGGCTTCAGGCCAGGTCAGACTTAAGGGATGAAGTCATTCTGGCTCCCTCTCCCATGTACCCTAGGTTAAACAATCTCACCACCCCCTCAATAGGCCTCCAGGCACTGCAGAAATACAAGGAGCCAGGCCGCCTTCAACATCCTCATACTTCTCAGCTCCAGAGGTTGTGTGTCTCAGGTCAGTCCCCTCCCCCACAATCCAACAGGGCTGTTTCTTTCTACTCTGGGTTATCGAGCTGCATATTTCCGGCACGATCCACCCCATAAATCAGTTATTTTTAAACTTCATTAGGAGCAACTCACCCCCCCACTTACCCCAGACTGAAAGCCAGGCCAGATAAATGTCTGGGTCCTGATCCACACCATCAGCCACACACACAATTAGCTGGGAGAAGGCAGGCGGGTGGAGTGGCTGAGGTCAGAACAGAAAGGGAGACCAGCTTCCCCACCTTCCCCAGCCCAGCCCCAGCTGCTCAGCACCCACTCAGTCTGTATAAGCTTGTAAACTCTAGCCACAGAAGAATGGCTGGAAGATGAGTAGGAAGAAAAAGGGGTTTAGGGCTGCTCTCACCAGCAAGCCTTTTCCAGGTCCGATTCTAGACCTCTTTTCTAGGAGTAGCTTTGCTATGGTAACCTGGGTCTCAGGCCTGTTTCCAGGGAGCCAACTGGCCTGTAACCCAGGGAGGCACAGGTTAAAAAAAAAAAAAAAAAGAGGCAGGAGAATGATTAACCCTGACACTAGGTTTAAGAGGGGGAGAAAAGGACCCAAAGCCAGAGGCTTCCAGTGTCTGGGGCCCACATGGGATGGAAGGTAGATGCTGAAGGCCCTTCCCTGATTCTAAGGACTGGACACAGCTGGAAGGGTCATGGCCTCCAGCTGTAGTGTCTCTGCTCCACTCTAGAGCCATTGCCCTAGAGCCCTGAGGTGCCAGAACCACAGGAGTTCTAAGAAGGGGAAAAAAGCCAGCCGCCCAGTCTGGCCAGCAGCTGTTTCTCTCCCTCCCCCTCAGGCAGGCAGCAGCTGATGGGCCCGGGCTGTGCCTGCTGCAGCTGGAAGGGCCCACCCTAGTGACACCCAGGGGACCTACCCTGCCATGCTTCAAAAGAAGGGAAGGCAGCAAGTCTCCTACTGGTGTGGGGAGAAGAGATATGGCCAGCTGGAGGACAGGTGCGAGATGCCTAGAGCTGAGGATCCCAAGGGAAGACAAGAGCTGAACAACTTGGGAGGTGGGCTGGCCACGGTGAGAACCTAAACTCCAGAGCTGGTGGCAGCTGTGGGAACAACCCTCACTCTCACCCAAGAGGTTACAATAGTCAACAAAGGAGGAGAAGCCATAAAAGGCATTGTGCCCCACCCAGAACCTGGGCTGAAAGCCTACCTTACCCCACTCAAGGCCAATTCTGGAAAAAGAGGGAACATGCAGTAGCAGTGGGGGGATTTCAGGGTTCTTGGCTAGGCATTTAATTGGGAAGTTAAGGGGACTCTCCATTCACTGTGCCAGAGATGGGACACGGGGAACTTCCCAACTCAGAAGTGGGTTGGGACTATTCTGAAAGAGAAATGTAAGCAGAAGCAAGGACAGTGGGAGAACTGAAGTTAAGGGGCTGCCTTAAGGAAGACACCCTCCCCCAAGGGAAAGCTCCTTCACCACCAGTGTCCATAGCAGAAGAGAAAGCTGAAACTACACAAACAGGAAGCCACAGGCTTGCTCAAGAAGAGGGGAGGGAGTGGAGTCCGTTGCCATGGCTTCTGTGTACCAAACACAGGAATGGAAGCAGGGTGGGGGCACCAGGCAAAAACACCCAGTCCACACAGACTTCAACGTGGAGGCTCTGAACACAGGGGCACCAGTGGGATTCTGACAGATTGGGGATAGCCAGACCTAAGCGATTCCCTCAGAAAGCAGCTATGAAGGGCCTGGAAAGCGCTTGGAGGCAATGGGAAGTCACCAGTTTGATGGTAGAAATAATTCAGAAGAAACACCCTTGGAAATGGAAGGTGTTCTGCACCAAAGGGTCCACACCTGAAAATCCTGGAGGGCAAAGGAATGGAGTGAAGAAAGGATTAGAGGCCAATCCCAGGGTGGGGGGAGGAGGGGGAAGCATGGAATGAAGTCTGAGTAAGGAAGGGGGGTTACAATGGACAAAGAGTATTTGTTGGTTCTGCAATGGTAGCTCCCTGCGGGCCCCGCCCTACCTGGGTCTCCCCAGCAGTCTGAGGTCTGCCGGGTGCAGTAGGAAGGAGAAACTGGGTGGGGTTTGGAGATAGGAAGCTATCCTAGACTAACGCTCTGAGTTAGAAAGAGAACCAGGGGAGCCTGTCCATGCCACAGGTCGCCCCCTCCACCGCACCTCCACATTTTACCACCGCTTCTTTCGGTCCCACAGACACTAAATGCCTCCAGAACCTCCCTGGTACCAGCTCTAGGAGGCTTGTTGAATTAGGGAGGGCGGCAGCCCACTTCCGGTTTGCATGTCCAGCCCCTACAGCTGCCACCCCCGCCCCCACGGCCACGCCCTAGGCCGTTTCTTCGGATGAGTCACCTACCGCCCGCCTGCCACTGGGGTGACGCAGTGGTCTGGGCAGCCCGCCCGCCCGCCCGCGGTCACCAAAGGCTTTCCCAGCAGCAGGGTGCTCGGGAGGGGGCAAAGGGGCTCAGGCAAGAGTAGGAGGGAGTGGTAAGCAGCTAACACCCCCCCACACACACACAGACAAGGGCACATGGGAATGCAATCAGGGATGCAGCCCCCAAGGTTAAGGGACTTTCCTGGAGAGAACTGAAGTTTCACAGAAGGTGAAGCCACTGTGGGACCCACGCACGGAGACTCCTGACCCCAGCTTGTGACACCGAGTCCTCAGAAAAGCAAACCAGCAGAAGGAGGTGCAGAAAGGGGGGCTGGAGGACGCAGAGTGCAGGCAGTGCCCACACGTGTTCCTGGAACCAGGAAGTGAAGAGTCGCGCGGGAAACCCCGGGAGCGCGGAGTCCAACCAGGGAGCGCTCCATAACCCCTTACCCGCGTTCCCCGGGCCAGCCAGCTAACGTAGGACGCCTTCCTTTCCTCGCACCTACAAGGAACGCAGCGCTGGAGCTCGATCCCCAAGTCCCTGCAGGGGACGGGCGCCCCGTCCAAGGGCGTCTGAGGTCCCCTGACCTCACCGCCCAACAATGCCAGGTCATGGCTTGGGGACAGGACCTGACAGCATTTGGCGTGGCAGAGCAGTCATCAGAACCCTTACCTGGAGCCAGTTCTTGATCCCCAAGCTCCCTGGAGCAAGTCTAAAACTTGCTTTCTACAGATCACGCATATGCCCTCTCCCCTTGGTCTCTCTCTACAAATCAAACACATGCCCCCTCCCATTGGTCCCTCTGTCCGGCTCACCGTCTTAGCCGGCTGGATAGCTGTGCACACTCTGCAGGGTTGCAGCGGAGAGTGGTGCACCAGCCGGCCTGTCCAGGGGTTTTCAGGAGGGTCCCGCCTCAGACGGGGCGGACCAGGGGCGGGGCAAGGGCCAAGAGAGTTTAAAGGCGCCGCAGTGGAGAAGGTTGAAGAGCTTGCCTTTAACCAGGGTTAAAGGACTTGGGGAGTCCGTGGTGCCGCCGCAGTGGTTTGTACCCATAAAAGCCTCAACCTCTATCCAGGAACCCATAGATTGGTTTCCCAATAGGAAACCTGCCTAGATTAGCTGAAGACGGTGTGTTTTGTGGACAGAGTCTCCTGTTTAAAAAGGCTGGCAAGGTAAATGGAGGCACAGGAAGAGCCTCCCTGCACAACTCACTAGGGTGTGACAAGATTGGGGCTTGCAGGCCAGGACAGCACCCCCACGTGGTCTTGCTTGCCATCTACTTCAAGCCTGGGCAGAAATTAACAGTGAGGTCATTACTTCCCTGGGGCGCAAGAGGTGTGACCAGCGTTGGGATCTAGGGTTCAGACCTGACTCTTCCCTTTCATCTTTTCTATGACCTGCATCTCTTCTTAAATCCTGGAGAAATCAAAGCGAAGGACTCAGTGGAGGACATTGGCAGGAGTTCCTCAGTCTCTTAGGGTGGAGAGCAGCATAGTTTAGAGGAGGAAGGAGCACCACCCCACCTGTTCAAGCTTCTATTGAGCACAGACCCCCAGGGGAGTCCCTGCTTACAACCATAGGTGGAGTTCTTTACATGGCAGAGTGCCCAGTTGAGCCTTCTATTCAAAGACAACAAGAAGTCCCCTCTGGTTCCCCTTTCCATTCTCTGTCCCCTCCCTCTCCTGCCCAGACCAATGAAGCATCATTTCACTCCTCTGTACTTTTACAAAGGCTATTCCTCTGTCTGAGATGCTTTTCTTCCCTTGACTGGCATCTCACCTGGTCTGCCCCTTACTCACTGTGTGGCTTTGGGGCAAATTACTAAAGCACTCTATGCTTCAGTTCCCTAGTCTACAAAACAAGCTAACAGTACAAAACAAACTCAGAGCTGTAGAGAATTAAACAGGACACTAAAGAGCTTACTACAGTGAAAGCTATTGTCATTATTACCACCTTCTGTGAAGATACCAAGGATCTCCCACACGTAGCCTTGTCCCAGAACACTCTGTAAGCTTTACTAAATGTTGACTCAACTGCACTTTCTCCCTTTGTGCTACCATAATAACCAACACACAGTGTTATCACAAGAACTTATCACATTATACTGTAACTATTGTCTGCCTCACTAGCTGGAAAGAACTTCCCAAGGGCAAAGGCATATTTTAATGAATTTTGTATATTCTCAAGGCTTCTAGCTTAATAATTGGTCTCTGCTTTTTTCTTTTTTTTTAAGACATGCTCTTGCTATATATATAGCCCAGGCTGGCTACATATCTTCTACATATGAACTCTCCTCCTACATACGTATCTATATACATACTACATACATACATACCTCCTCCCACATATGATATGGCTACATACAATTCTCCTGCCTCAGCCTCCCGAGTACTGGGATTATAGGATACACCTAGCTGTCTCTCCTCTTTCAGGGTCCAGGGATTTTCCCACCTCTTTTAGACTCAAAGCTACATAACACAGAGAAACATTTTCAGACTTTATTCACCTGTAAAAAAACTTCACCCACACCACAAACCACACACACACACACACACACACACACACCCCACACACCACACAGAGGGGCAGACTAACATCCCTGTTCCAATCCCCAGTCTCATCTAGGGGGTCAACACATACATTCCATACCAAGTTCACCCAAGCCCACCCTCAGGGTCTGTGCCTGGGCACAAAGGTACAGGGGTAGTGCACGAGGCTGGAGCTAGGTCTTGTTAGGGGCTCCTTTGCAGGTCCATATGCCTTTTCCCAGCCACACATTAGGGGTGTTCACAGCAGAGTGGCCTGTTCAGGGTGGGGGATTGGCTGTCGATAGGCTGGTAGTCGGGCCCTAGTGGCATCTCGGCGTCGACGGAAGGCCAGGAATTCCTCCCGAAGGGCAGCACATCGGGCCTCAGGGCTAGAAGCAGGGGCAGTGTTCAGGTGACAGCTTCCTCTGGAGTCTTCATACCTATAAGGGAAGGACAGGACAAGGAGAGAGGCCTGGGTGAAGGCTCAAGCCTGAAACTCCAAAGGGCCTTCAGGTGCAGTGAGCCACAGGAGCAAGACACAGGGAGCTTGGGGCTTAGGGCCAAACTGATGGGTCCAGTCCCAAAGCAGCAGGAGGGGGGTGGTGGATACAGGACAGGGCAGCTAGGAGTGTCTTGTCTTTCTGGAGGTTCACACACCTAGCTCTGGCTCAACATCAGGTCGGGGATGACAGCCAGCCAAGCCCAAAGGCCAAGTCTCCAGCAATTCCATGTCCCCAGGGAATTCTGAGTCCCATTCATAGTTCTCATCCACAGATGTGTTCCTCCTGTTAAAAGGGACAAATGCATGATGTGGGTAGAGGAGGAGAGGGTACCCAGAAAAGTCTGAACGAGGGGTCCCCAACTCAGGTTTGGCCCTAGGTTTCATCTGAGAAGCCCCGTACCTTAACAGAACCTTCTAAAAGGAGACAAGAATCTTCTGGTCCCAGGGCAGGAGGACAGCAGGAATGTACAGGATATGGGGGCCAGTGGTGGGGGAGGCAAAGTGGGGAGAGTGGAGATCTGGAACAACTGGACAAAACTGGGACCAGGGTAAGGATTGTCCTCACCTCTTGCTGACTGTCACCACGTGCTCTCTTCGGGGCCACCTTTCAGGGCCACTAGCCCAGCTGCTGGTGTCTCCTGGAGCTGGGCTGAGGTAGCTGCCCCCTGCAGAAGGGGCTGTGGAAGGAGGCCGCAGGAAGGAAGCACTGCCCCTCCCACTGCTCTGGCTTGTGAGGCTGCCCCGAGGGGCAGCAGAGAGAAGGCCTGGCAGCAGCCGCTCCTTCAGTGTCCAGTCAGTCAAAGCTGTGTAGGGGGGCTCTGAGGTGGTCCCACCCTGTACCACAGCCCCAGGAAGTGCAGCCCTAGGGGTTGTAGGTGGGGAATGTGGAGATCTAAGGAAAGATGAGGTGGGGCAGGGCCGAGTATCCATGTAACCTTGAGGTGAAGCAGGGTTGGGTTCCTCAAGAGGGGGCCAATCACCATCCACATTCATCTCTCGGAAGAAGGGCAGACTTAGGTACTGGAGCAGGGGTCCAGGACCTGGCAGGGAGCTGGGCAGAGCTGCTGGAGAGGGCCCCACAGGGCTGATGTCTGCAATGCAGAGGGGCTGGGGTGCCCCATTGGGGCTGCTGCTGCTACAGTCAAAGGACTGGGCCAGACGTTGAGTTGAGTTCCTAGGTTCTGCCCCATCCAGGCTTGACCTTTCTTGGGGGACCCCCACAGTGGGTGCCATCACAAAGCGCCCATCTGGGCCCCTGCAAATGGGCTCCAGGGGTAAGGGTCCCCGGCCAGGGAGAGGATCTGGATTGGGGCTGAGGGGCAGGGCAGGCTCCCCCCAGAGCAGGCTCTGGCGCAGGCTGGGAACTGGAGAGCCCTGGAGCTTCAGCTTGGCCACGCTGTCAGGGCTGCCTGAGCCCAGAGCAGAGCTGGGGAAGGACAGGAGATCAGGGTCTGGCCTTGAGAGGTTTGTTGGACAACAGAGTGGAGCTAGGGAGAGCAAGCAAGGAAAGGACCAACATGGCGGAGAGATGGAGGGAAGGCACAGGCAACATGGGACGGTCCCCAGGGTGGAGCTTCTGCTCTCTCCGGTTCTCACCTCCCTCTAACTTCTATTCCTGGCTCTCCCCTCCCTCCTGAAGGTGCAGAATAGGAAGCAGTGGATACTGGCTACATAATGGAAGGCAGAAAGAAGCCGAAAAGGTGAGAGGACTTACTGTGGAGCTGACTTCCTGGGCGGGGAGAAGATCAGAGGTGGATCTGTAAGAACAGACAACAGGAGATGACACAGAGAAAACTCAGGCCCCTCCGGAACTCCAGGCACTGACCTTCTCATCCAAGAATGGGGGAGCCCAACCCATACCCATTTGGATTAGGAAAAGAGTAGGCAAGGCCTGATTCGAGACAAGTGGAAGAAGGGATAATTCCCCAGGTAGGAAGGGCTTAGGAATGGCCAGACCATTCAAGTAGCCAAGTGCTTAGGACCCCGGGGATGAGGCTGGAGAAAGGCCGGGCCTGACGAAAGGATAGGGTGGTGAAGTCTACCCTGGCGGAGGCGTTTGCGTCGACGACGGACAGCCCTGCGCCGGTTCATGAGGCAGGCAGCCAGGATGCTCACGAGGATGGCCACGCCCAGGAAGCAGACCCCGCCTACCACGCCTGCCAAAACAGGCTGGGGCAGGAGGCCAGGCAGCTGCGTTCGCGAAGGGTAGACTTCCAGGCCTGGGCAAGAGGCCAGGAGGGTCAGTGGGCGGAGGCATCCCCCCCACCACACACACACCACACGCGCACATACACACACACACACACACACACACACACACCTGTAATCCCCAGCACCCTCCCCTCCTACCAGGTTCTCACCGGAAGTAGAGACATTGGCGGTGTTGCTGGGATCGCTGACATAGCTACCCGCAAAGGCCACAAGGCGGAATTCATAGAAAACGTCCTAGGGGTTAGGGGTGGAGTGCGAGGAAGAGGATCAGAGCGCAATACCACTTTGCAGTTAGGAGGTAAGGGTGAGATGGGGATGTGAAGATGATCAAATCAGGTTGGGAAGATGGGATTTGGGGAATGGAGCAGGGCTCTGGAGAGTGTCTGGAAGGACCCTCCCTGTGTGCTGCCTGCAACAGGTACCTTGATGAGGCCTGGTACCAGTAGCTGCATTTCGGAGCCTGCTACAGCTGGATCCAGCACCTCCCAGCCCTGGGAGCCTTGCCGTCCTTCCAGGACGTAGCCATCCAGTCTCTTAGGGACCAGTTCTGGAGGATGCCAGTGCAGGAGTACCCCCCGGGGTGTCCTGGCTGCCACAAGACCTCGGGGAGGGGATAAAGGAGGTGGCATCTCTGTTGGAGGAAGCCTGGGAGCAGCTGGTGTGGTAGGAAGCCCTGAATGGGACAGATAGGCAGGTCAGAGATAAGGTTCTCAGTATCCCTCATCCTCCCCCTCACACCACCCGTTTTCCACAGCCCTAGGGCCCGACCATTCTGCTAGAACCCTTCTAACACCCCACCTCTGGACTCAAGTTGCCCAGCACCTCTGGCCCCTTCTGTCCCCAGGTTCTCCCATGTCATACCTTTCCCACCAGCCCTTCCCTTTCCTTTTCTCTGCTTCTCTGGGGCAGAAGGTCTCTCACCTTCTGGTGCAGATAAGATGATCTCGCTGAAGGGCCCACTGCCCAGCTTGTTCTGAGCTAGGACGCTGAACTGGTACTGAGTGTGGGGCTGAAGCCCTGGCACTAGGAGGTGTGCAGCCCCCATGGGCACTGCCAGTGACACCCAGTCATGGTGGGCTCTGTCAGGACGCTTGGCCCTGGAGAACATGGGAGGGAGGCACCTCATAAGCTAGGAAGACCAGGAATATTTGGGGTCCATTGATCTGACCTCCCCACTCTGCCCTACCACCCAAGGTCTCAGACCTGGGCCCTGAACACCTAAGAGTCTCTGGAAACAAAGAAGCAGAGCTAAGCCACAACTAGGGATAGAAGGATAGGAGAAAGAACAGAGGGCCAGATAAATCAGGATGGATGTAGGAGCAGGTCACTCACAATGGGGTGTACCAAACACTGAATCTCTGCAGATAGCCACCATCAAAGCCAGGCTCCCAAGAGACATTGGCACCATTGGGTAAAGCTACTACAGACACATTGGTGACAACATGGGGGCTGGTACCTGGGAAGGAAGAATAGAAGGAGGGATAATAATTAGGGCCCTAGGGAAAGGTGAAGAGAAAGTGGTGGGCTTTGGCCTCCACTCATCGTCCCAGGAGTCCCACACCCACAAGCTCCCATCTGGGCCTCCAAAAATGATACCCCTGTCTCCTGTCCCACATGGATGCCCCCAGTACCAGCCCTCTTCCCAGTCACTAACCCAGCACGTAGACATTGGTGGAGGTGGCCACTTGTGCCACAGCATTGCTGGCACTGCATTCCCAGCGCCCATGGGCCTCCTTGGTCAATGGCCGCAGGATGAGGCTGCTGTTGCTGTCCACCTGGGCCTGTGCTCGCAGCCCCTGGCCCACCTACAGAACCACTGGTCAGCCCTGAGGACACACGCAGCCACCCCTCACCAAGGGGGCCACTCATCTCTCCAAGCAGCTTGTTTCCTCCCCACCCTGCCTCTGACAGCCCCCTCCCCCCACAAAATGGCCAGGGTCTGAGAGGCAGGGATGCAGTGGGCATGGACCCAGCAGAGCTGAGTAAGGAGTCTTACCTTGGCCCAAGAGATAGTAGGAGGAGGGTCTCCTTGGGCGGAGCAGGGGATGAGCAGCTCCCGCCCTACTTCTTGGAAATATTCTTCCTTGGGCCGTTCTATAAAAGCTGGGGGCGCCTGCAGGCCAGATCTGCATTAGGAGGGGCCTCTCTTCTCCCTCTGCCTAAGGTTCGGTATTCCCCCTCTCTAAGCTCCCCGTCATACTGTAGGTCTCAGTTTCTATCTCATTCTTTTTCCATCTTTATTCCTCTCTAGATCTGTCTCTGTTCCCAACAAGTAGGCTGAAGGGAAATGGTGGGATAAGCAAGGACTGGTGGGCCTGGGAGACCTCTCTGGAGATATACAAGCTTCTATAGATCACCCTCTCTCCTTCTTCCTCTCCTTTACTTCCTGTCTCATAGCTCCAGCAAGGAAGGTAGCCTGGCTGAAATTAGCCAGGGCTGGAAGACAAATACCTCATCTCGTGAATGTATTGTGTGACTAATGTCCCATGTCCCCAGTACCATCTCTTTATAAACCTTAGGATGGCATCTGACAGCTCCATGGCCACCACAGGAAACATAGACTTAGAAGCCCCTCTTCACATGGGTTTTACCTGACCCATCCCATCACTCTGGCCTTAGTATGCATCTTCAGCCACTTGATCCAATGCCACAGCAGGTCCCTGGACCATCCTGGGCCTCACCTTGAGCAGCACACGGGTCACAGCAGAGGGCCCAGCAGTACCAAGACTGTTGTAGGGGGTGCAGGAGTATTCTCCCAGGGCATCCTCATTCCCCAGAGCAATGATCAGTGAGCCTTCTGGGCCCTGGGACCAGCCAGGGAACTAGACAGCAGAGGAGATAACAACTAGAGAAACTCAGCAGAGGCAAGACCAGGATGGGGAGGCAAAACAAGAGAGAAGATAGTACAAGAAACTCATGCCGTGCAGGAATTCCACAACTCTACATCTACGTCTGACTCTCCCTGGACTCCATTCCTCCATTTCTCTCTTTTCTACCAAGGGGCCACCACCAATGGGTGTAAGGCTGTGAATGCACAGTTCCAGGGGTGCCATTCACAGAAAACAGTGAGAATGGTGCCCCTGGAGTTGATTGATGTGGGCTCCCTGCCTACTGTGATCTCACCTAGCTGTCCTCCCAGCACTCTACCACTAAATTCTGCATTTTCCACCCAAATCAGCATCTACTTCTGTACAAAGACCCCACCACCATCCTCCCTGGTAATGTGTGACCACTCACTCACGCTATCTAACTACTTGTCTGTCATCCTTTTGTCTGAACACAAAGACCCATCTACCTTCATGTCCTCTCCAGCTCAGACTTCCTAACTCCTCACCTTGGACCATTTCAATAGCCTTGCAGTACCTCTCCTGGTCCACTCTAGCTGACAAAACTTGACTCCTGATCACAGCTCTGATACCATCACACTACTGCTGAAAAAAACTTCACTGGCTCCAAATGCCTTTAGATTTTTAAACACATTCAACAAAATTTATTGAATACTACTATTGTAAAAGCCCCGGAGACACAGTGATTAAAAGATGCAACGCTAAGCCTCATGGAATTTATAGTCTCTGCAGACAAACAAAAGATCCCAATTACCTTGGAATGAGGTAATATTAACTTGGCATGCAGTTTTTCCTTTAGGTCGCAACCTGTCTTTCCAGCTTTCTCTGCACCACTCATGTCCCCACAGGCACTCACTATAGCTCCCACCAAACTGCCCGATTCATCATTCCAAAAGCACACTACATTCTGTCCTGCCTTTGGGCTCTGGTTTCTGCAAGGAATTATCCACCCTTCAAGATCTGTCATCAAAGTCCCAGAATCTGTTGCTGATCTATCCTCAACCACACCTAAGAGGAAGGCACTTACTCCATCCCTGGTCTTCTAGCAGGGGCTCTGTTGCTGTCCTACCACCAAGGAAGTGCCCTTCTTAAGGACGGGTGCTTCTTTGCCACCACTCAACACCTACACAGCCCTTGGTAAGAAGTATAAGTTCCCTGATAGTTGAGCTGAACTACTGAGCAGAATAACACCAAACTAAGACATGCACTCCCCTGCCCCAAATTTGTACCTTGTCCAGCTGCAGGGCCTGCCCATCCTTGGTCCAGCTGACAAATAGCAGTGGGGGGTTGGCACGAACTGGGCACCGGATCACCCCCCGCATGCCAATAGGTAGGGGTGTTTCAGGAGGCATCACTGTCACCTGTGCTGGGTCTAGGAGAAAGCCGTGTCAAACTGGGAGAGAGGGCCTTGACCTGGCCCAGGGGTGAGAAGCAGGCTGTGGAAGGAGCTGGGGTCATGCTTACAAAGCACAGTGAGATAGGCAGAGGCTGAAGGCGGATGCAGGAGGCCATTGCTGGGCACACAGGTGTAAAGGCCAGCATCATCAGGCTGGGCAGCCTGCAGGCGAAGGCTCCCATCCACCAGAATCTGAACTCGGGACTGCAGGTGGCTGCAATATGGCACATGTGAGGAGGGGTCCAGGCCAAGGGGCTCCTCATAGACCACTATCAATTCCCCATCTCCACCACTCCAAATGTGGTGACCCCACCTAATGTGGAAGACATTGATGCCATTCTGGAACCAGCTATAGGTGAGGTTAGCGGGGTGTGCCTCAGCCTGACAGGCCAAGGATACATCCTGAGAGGTATTGACTGTGCTGTTTTTAGGAGGCGCCACGATGACAGGGGGTCCTGTGGGAAACACAAGGAGAGAGAGGTGGGCTCAGCTCACAGTCTTCCCAGAAGCATCAGGGCACTTCTACAACTATTCCTCTGACTTCTAAAACACAGGGCTGGATGTCACAGGGTCTTGAGTTCTGAAGCAGGAACTTCCCCTTGTGTTAACAAAAGCTTATCCTCTTCCTGAGCCCCACTCCTTTTCCCAAATCCCCCCTATTCCAGAGGACTGAGCCTATTCACCCAGTTTCCCCTGCCTAAGAAACTGGGGAGTAGAGTAGTTTTAACTCTGCTCATTTATCCTTTCTGTCCTAGTCCATCACATCTTAAGTCACCTCCATGTCTCCTAATCCAGGTATCCATACCTCACCCAAAATGCTGCAGACTCCCCTGTAGCTACCATGGTAATGGGCATTCATGCAGAAAGGCACCACTTGCCACAGAGAACTTCTGTTCCAGGACCTTGCTCATGGCTCCTACACATTAAGCTCACACTTCTTGGTCTAGTCCCTTTAGACCAGGCCATCCATCTTTCCTTGTCAGCCCTCATGAACTCTTTCAAGTCAGTCTGGGCATCTGGGTGTCCCCACATCAGGCTGGCTCCCATCACCATGTCTCCGCTCTCTGAACCCCAGGTGTGGAATGTCCTTCCCAAGAGTCTGGGCCAGCCACACACCTCCTGCAACACTGCCTCTGACGACTATAGCTCCACAGCCCTCCCACCAGAAAGCATGGCCAGTCAGCAAAAGAGGAAATAGCACCGAGTGCCTAGCACTTTTCCCTGCTCACCTCATTGAAACCTCACGAGAAACAATATGGTAGGAATTATTGTTTACCCTTTTGATAGACAACGAAATGGAGGCTCAGAGACAAAAAGACTGTGAGATAACTTGCCCCAGGTCAGCAGAGGAAGAATGATTCCTATGCAGGTTTTCCTGACACCAGAGACTATGCCCATTACCCAGCACCACCCTTCTCACAGAACCATGGAGAGCAACACTGCCGTGGGCAACGGACTGCAGTCTACTTCCCCTCACTGATAACTATGAAGGGAGACGCTAAGCCTCACGTGCTTCAGCTTTCCTTCTAAAGGGAAGGTCTTGGCCAGAAATTTGTGCCACTCACTGTGCTTGGCTGAACCTAAGCAAATTCTTGTCACAGTCTGAGAGGTAGATAAGACTTTCTTTGTCAACATGAGAAAACCAAGGCCCAGATGGATTACATAGCTCATTGCCTAACACCAACACCTGTGTCCTTTCCACTGCAATACACTGCTGGGAACGATATATCTGTGTGCCCATTTACTGGTCCTTTTATAATTGAAATGGTTTTAGAGTAACTGTCTGCACTGGAAGCCCTCTCACCTTGCACAGATCCCTCCCTCCAGAATATGTCTTACTATGTTCCTCCCCAACTACAGGTCATCTTCTCACATAGGTGTCCCTGGTCCCCAATCCTCCCACCAGAAAGCACCTAGAACCAGCAGCTGGGTGGTGTGTGTAGCGCTGCCTTCAATGCTGGAGGCTTGGCAGGTGTAGACTCCAGAGCTTCTCCGCTCCACCCGGCGGATCCACAGCGTCCCGTTCTGCACCTATAAAGGAATCCTTAAGGAAGGTCCCATCTTGCTCAGCCTCAGACTCTGCACTTTCAAATCTGGCCAGCAGAGGGAAGCAGCATCCCAGGCTCAGGGAAACCAATACAAATCAATACCCATCAATACAACCAATATCCAACTCCCAGCCTGGGTTTGACCCCACTCTGTTCTCCAGCTCTGGTCCCACCTTCTCCTCTCACTCCAGCTGGCCCACTCACTTGCACCTGATCCTGGCTTTGGCCAAGATCCTTTCCTTGGAGCTTCCAAGTCACATGAGGTTGGGGGCTACCATGGGCCACGCAGCGCAGGGTGACTGACTCTAGTTCCAGCACTTCCAGTACTGAGGGAGGGGTCTCCAGGAACTGAGGGGGCGCTGTTGGAGAGACAGGCATTAGAGGCTGCCAGAAAAGCTATCAGCCCAAAGAGCAGTGTCCAATGGCCAGAGAGACAAGAGAACTCAGGGCTGCAGCCCTCAGTTTACCCAGTTTTATAGAAATGCCAGCCCAGAGTCATCTGTCTGCTGCACACACACTGGAGTGAGCACAGACTGGCTGTCCAGAGCTAGGGGGAAGAGCTAAGTGCCCCAAGAAAAGCACTGGTCTGGGAATTAAAGACCTGGGTCCTACATTCTGCTCCGTCACGTATCAGCAGCATGACTCACTTCTCTACCCTCTTGCCTGCCCCAGTCTCACCTGAAATGTGAATGATTATGACTTCCTTTTTAGGAGTGAGGGAGAGTTAATGAGGTCCTAGGTGAAAAGGTGTTTTATACATAGGTGAGCTGTTTCACTCAGGGCCCCAAAGCCCCCTCTCCTCTACCCATGACCCTGGCCAGGGAGCCAGAAGGGAAGAAAGAAGAGGACATTCCTGACATAGAGTTAGGAAGCTGATAAGATTTAGATTTGAAGAACTGAAAGAGCAGGAGGGAGGGGAGGGGTTAGATGCAACCACTAACTGAGCAAACAGGAGGTGTCAGTAAAGGTGGGACACTGGCACTGCATGTAGGATGGAAACAAAACTCTCTTCCCTTTCTACCCTGCCAGGGTCCCCCATCATTCTCCTCCCTCCCTTTACCACCAGCTCCCCAGCTTCATACAATTGACTGTCAGGTGCACCCAGGAGCCATTGGCAAAATCCTCTTCGGGGCTGTGCTGGTCCAAGAAGAGCACACGGCACTCGTACCAGCCCTGGTCTTCTACCCGGAGCCCCTCGATCTGGAGAGATGCTCCTGTTTGCAGCCGGACTCGTCCTGGGGGGAAGCCCTGAATCAGAGATGCTGAAGGGATGTGGCAGGAGCCCTGAACCCCTGACCACACTGGCCATTCTCGGAGTTGAGAACAGTCTCAGACTCTGTTACTCTGAGACAGTGAGGCCTGCACAGATGGAGTTGGGGTAACTGAGGGCAGGTTGCTATGTTCATCCCTTATGCTGGCTCCTGCCTTTCAATAGCTGAGACAAAGAGAAACTGGAGGAGTGGCAAGTGAGCAGAATATTCTACTGAACTACACCTGGCTTCTGGGATTGTTAAGAGGAAAAGGTTGAAGAACCAGCAGTTGATCTCCTCTACCCACCTCTTCTGCCCATCCCTGGACTCTTTTTGTAGGGGTAATGTATGGACTTCTCTGGGTACCAGAGCACTCTGTCCTTGGAAACCCTAGCAGTGTTTGGGGCCCTAGCAGGGACCCAGACCTATCCTGTCAAAACCCCTAATCCCTCAAATCTATTATCAGCTGCTTAAGCGCCTTAGTGTGGGTAGAGTCCAGCCCAACCAGGCAGCAGAGTCAGCAGTCACCTCATCCCATCCCTTCCACGCCCCAGGGCACTCCCACCCCAGTTGACTGACCACATGTAGTTCCACAAAGCCACATACCACAGCACAAGCAGACAGTTCATTCCAGCCTGAGTCAGCATCTACAGCACACCACTGGGCTCAGACTAAGGTACCCACCTATCCCTGATGGAATCCCACATCCCACACAGCTTCAGGAGTCTCTGGCAATGCAGCCCTAGTGAGAAAGGCACATGCTTGGCAGCCAGAGACCTAGGCACAAGTTCAACTCTGCTGTGAACTCCTTTGGACAAGTTACCTAACCTGTTAATTTCATTTTTCTCATTTGAAGAAAGAAGGAGAGAAAGAAAAGGAAGGAAGGAAGGAAGGACTGGGATAGGATGGAAGGGAGAGATAATGTAAGGAAGACATAGAGCCCAGTGCCTGGCACCAGTGAGTGCTCAAATACAGGCTGCTGAACAAATGAATAAGCTCCAGTTTTGAAGCCTGCAGTCAATCTTGGCCCCATCTTCTTCCTCTCCCACAGCATGCACTTGCTCACTGAATCTTTCAAATCCTACCTCCCAAATGTTTCTATTTTCTTCTCTACCACTGACTCCTGCAATGTCTCACCTGGGTTGTCCAGCTATTTCCCTCCACACTCACTAGTTGCCCAGCTCCACCTTGACCTCTGATGTGGACAAATGGTATAGTCTAAATTTTATGGGGTATGCAAATACAGCTCCCAGACAAGACCCTCAGTATTTTGCCTATCCCAGCCCTTCCTCGTAGTAGAATCCTGAAGCTGTGCACCCACCCTCTCCAATTTGCTCCCACTCTGCTTCTAGACTGACCTTTTGGAAATAGAAGCTAAGCCTGTATGCTTCTGATGCCACAGGGAAGAAGAGAAATTAGGCTAAGGCTGGCTGCAATCTTAGGCAAGGGTGTTTTTTCTTCAGAGAACAGTCCTAGGGTGTGGATTCTTTAGGATGGGTGGACCTGCTTAAAGGGCTAAGTGTCTAATCCCCACCCAGAAGATAAGACTAGGCCTGGTAAGTAAATATTTAAACATAATCATATCTACTCACCAGCAGGATTCTTCAGTAACCCTAATTTGCCTGGCCACTGAGCCCTGAAGACCCCAGACTGCAACTACCTCTATACCCCATGTGATACTAACTTTCCAATATGGTGGTCTTTGAACTCTAGAAGGAAGGAAGAAGAGGGAAGGGGATTGAGCATTGAATATGGGTCATAGAGTATTAGGTAGTGTCACCATATTTAATCCTCCCAAGAATTCCATTATAGATGAAAGAACTGATGTTAGGTTTCTTTCTATAACCCCATGACTAGTAAATGACAAAGCCAAAGCTAACCCAGAGGTAGTGTACTTGCTACTGAACACTGATATTAGAATCAAGTGATGCTCAGGGCACTGAGCATATTTTTGAGAGATGATGGCTAAATTCCCAAATGTCTATCAATCAGAGTGTCCACTACAGCATTCTGCATGTCCTAATTTCCCTGGGAGACCTAGACTGCTGGACTGCAGTGTTACACAAGACCAGGAAGATGGCCAGGACAGTAGTCCTGAGACCTCTTCAGTCCTACGCCCACCTCCTGGAGGCCTGCACTCCACCTGCAGGGCCAAACGTGCAGATCTGCCCACACGCAGGGGTGTGCAAAGGAGAAAGGACAGTCTCTGCTCTGTCAGGCTCTCTGAGGGCGGGAACCCACAAGGCCTTGAACCATGAACATACTGAAGTTCAAAATGTGGCACTGATCATGCCCAGACATTGCACTTGAAGCAAGAGGAGGAAGGAAGACATACAAGCAGATGTAATTAGGCAGACATTTTTAAAGGATAACAGGTAGTAAGGGGAGAACAGGCAATAATGGAGAACAAGACAATTGATTTTTATCAAACAGTTCAGCACAGTGAGAAAATGCATGCCCCTTTTGCAGTGCAGGGCATCTTGAAACTGCCAAGAAATATAGCACAAAAGTCCCAGGGATTCAAAGAATTGGTCTAACACCCATCCTGCGACAGCTGGAGTAGACTAGGCCCAGCCTGCTTTTCTTCTGATTTCTGGTCAGCTCCCCATTACAAAAGCTTTTTGTAGGCACTGTGCTGGGTACATTACACACAGTAGCTAACTTAATCTGACTTCAAGTCCTGGTTCGTTTTATATCTTTTTTTTTTTTCTACTTTTGCATTATTTTGTCAACCCAATCTCCTCGGGTAGATGGTTTTTCGATGGAAGCTTTCCTTCACTGTGGTCCCTAAAGCTCCAGCTCAGCGTTCCTCACACATTCTAGGCCACCAGCCTCACAGACCCCAGCCCATCTCCCTCCACTTGCCCAGAGAGTTTATGACAGAACGGCATTGTCCTTAGCAACCTCCACCTCCGTTACTTAGCAACTGCAGTTGAGTCCCCTGCACAAAGGCTGAGAGGCCCCTTCCACACTGAGGCAGCAGAAGGGTTAATGGGCTTCAGGGGCCTCCCCCTGGGGTCCTGACTCCCTGGACCAACTCCAGCTGACCAGGAGCTTCATACTGTGCTGGGGCAGGGGTGGGAGCAAAGGGCAGGAGTAGGAGGAAAGCCCTAAAGGTTACAGCTCACAACCCTTGCAGTGCAAGGAGCAGCACAAAAGCATAGGGAAACCATAGGCAGACAGAGTTGCTAGCAATTCGGTGGCTTGTTTGCCTAGGAACTGTGAGATAGGAAAGAAGAAACTCCACCTCTCCCTGGTGGACTCCCAGGGAAAGCCTTTCTTCCACCTCTCCTCCACCTCCCCCTGCCTTACCCTCCCTCAGGCAACATTCGGAGTCTGTTCAACCTCAGCCATATAGCCTAAACCCCATGCCCAGGCAGGCAGAGACAAGGGAGGGAGGGCTGGTGGGCATGAGTGTTTTTTTTCTCCACTTGTGCTAATTGGGGCCCGCTTCCATCAAGTCCCACAGGGCTTATGTACAGTCACACACACACACACACACATCAGGCTGTTTGCCAATAACTGCCCCTAGTTTGAAAATAAACTCTTCCCTCTGCAGCACCTGCCTGTGCTTCCTCCCCTCACTGTTCAGCCCACCGTTGCAAGTGCACAGCCAATCCCAAGGCTTCACTCAGAATTCAAACCAAAGAGGGAAAAGATGGGGGCTCCTGTCAACATCCTCCCAGGTGGCCTTTCTTGAGTTTCACCTCTGAGGAGGAGGCAACAAGGCTCATTCTTGTCCAACAGCCAAGACCCATCTTGAACACCTCCCACAGGTCTTTCGAGACCTGGCACTAAACTGGTCAGATTAAGGCTCCATCCCAGATTAGGAGTCAGGTGGGCCATTGCAGGGAGCTAGCTGCAGTGCAACAGAAGCAGCAACCCAGCCAGCACCATTCCATGCACTGACCTTTGGGGAACCAGAGCCCTCCCTAGACTGACCTCTCTGTGCACATGCTCTTCTCTGCTCAGAATCAGGCCATGCCACCCCCAAGAGAAGCAGAGAGGCTGCAGTCCCACCCATCCTGCTTACTCCCTAGAAGCCTGGAAACCCCCAAACTAGACATGGAGGAAGAAGACAGGGGAGCAAGCAGATAGTATAGCCAGGGACCAGGGAAGGGATAAATGGGAAGACTACAAAAGATCAGGATGGGAGGTTGCACAATGAGATCTAGAAAGAGCAATTAGAGAATGTGGATGGACACATCCACTGCTGGATCTTCAGTGGAACAGACCACATGGAGTTCTAAGTAGCAGAGTTATAGTGTGCATGCAGGGAAGGGGGTGTGTGTACACAAATTAATCCTGCAATGAATTAACATGCTGGGAGCAGAGCCATGCTTGTTAGGCAGTGAAGGCAGTGGAGCTGGAGATGAGATTGGGGCAAGGACAAAGCAGTTCCGGAGAGGCCTTGTGCATAGTCTACCCAGCCCACCTTTGCTGGTGATGCCTCCCTCCCTCCCACCTGAGGATAACTCTTACCCATGTAATCAGGGTCAATTCGGGGAGAGTAGAGGCCAAACTGGATGAAGATGGGAAGCAGGAATCCAAAGCGCAGCCACTCGATGACATGCAGAGGGGGCCGGCCAGATGGGGGCAACAGGTCACAGCCCAGCACCGCACTCTCCCCAGCCCGGCCCACCACAGAGACCACCTCAGGCTTCCTTCGACCTGCATGGTGGGTAGCATGAGGGCACAGCAGGGGACCAAAATGAGAGCTGGCAGCAGGGCTCCATCAGTACCACTGTAGGCTCCTTAGGACTTTGGGTGATTGGAAGAACCCCCAGATTCTCCAGAACCAGCCCTAGCCTTCTCCTACCCTAACACACTCACAGAGAACCACCTGGGGAACACCCCACACCCCAAGGTTATCAGGGAGTTGTTGAGCCCCAGGGGTCCAACTCACCGTCAGCCCCCTGGCTGATGATCAGGCTGAGGATGGCCAGACTGAGGCACCAAACCATAGCCCAGCTGGCTTGCTTGCCCGGCCCCTCCTATCCTCAGGAGCCCAGATGGAGGGGCCGAGGAGTTTCCACCACCCAGCAATCCTGCAGTCAGTCCTGTTCAGCTCTCTTTTGGTTTCAGTTCTACTCTTCTGGACAGTTGGGGCCTAACTCATTTAACACCTGAGGAGGCTGGTCTCTGGAGAATCCACCAGATCTAAATGCAAAATGGAAGGCAGTTTGGTCAATAATGGACCCCAGGAGAAACTCCAGTCAGAGAAAAGCACTAGGAAGAAAAGGAGGAAGGAGAGCAGCTAAATTGTGTGAAGAGACCAGAGATATTTTTTGTTGCAGTGCTGGAGATTGAACCCTGGGCCTAGAATGGTCAGGCAAGTACTACCACTGAGTTCTAACACCAGCCCCAAGGTCAGAGATCTTGAAGCCCTGGGATTAAGTATGAATAGGATTAGAAGGAAGGAATGGTAGGTGGGAGACTATACAGGTGAGAAAATGGCAGGGGCAGTTGGAAGGATCCTAGGAAATGTAGACGAATTGTGGGGTACCTGGTTATAATAATCTTGGCAAAATTCAACCAGGAGGGAACTGAGGGATTCTTATACACCGGAGAAGAGCTTTTTCAGGGAAGTTTGAGCGATCAAGACCTTCATGGTCCAGCCTCCTCTCCCTTCTCTTTCCTTCCTCAAGGCAGCAGATAGCAAGATAGAACCAGTATTATCATCTGCCACTCCAACTGTGACCAAGAAGGACCCCGGAGGCACTAGTTCAGGAGCAGACAACTAGTTTGAGGCAAATCCTGGATTAGACTCTAGTCCCTTAATCCCCAGAAAGTAGCCCCCAGAACACCCCACACAATCCCTTGCCCCATTTCCCAGCCTCTGTGAAGAGCCCTCTTCCTCCACTCATCCTCCCAACACTGATTTGGCAGTGAGGGAGTCAGGGACTTGGGAGAGGAGGAGTCGCCTCCCCCTCAAGCTGGTATAGGGTGGGGGGCCCAAGGCAGCATCCTCCAGGTCTGGGCAGGTCTTGGGCTGGCAGTTGGCACCACTTCCTCTTCATGATGCTGCCAAACAGCTTTCCTTCTGCTAGGCACCAGGACTCAAGTGCCTCACCCCAATTCCTCCCACTCACTCCTCTCCAGTATCTCAGAGATGCCAGGCCCTCCCTTCTCCAACCCTAGGGGCATGTTCAGAGAGAAGTAAAAAAATGCCTGAGTCCCTAGGGTATACAAAACTAACCATGGGGCATGGAGGTAGGAACTCTTGATAGCCTGGGCCCCACCAGTCCTTGGGCAGTCTCAGTGACTCAGACGGCCCTGCCTGGACCTGGAAAATCCAAGTGGACTCTGTTCTGGGGCCTCCACCCCATTCTTAGCCTCATAGTTCAGCACTGGCTATAAGATATCTTCCACACTGCAGTCTTATTCCTGTTTCTACTTAATGCTTCTGTATGCCTGGCTCCTCCTGGTAATTCACCAGAAACATTCTCACTGCCACTGCCAACTCCCCCAAACTTCCCTGAGAAGCCTTTTCCCCCAAATGTATACTATAGGAACCCCGGATTCTCTCCTGGCTGTTTGCCAAGTATCTTGTGACCCAGGAATCCCCAGAATTCTCCTGCTTTTCCTAGGATCTTCCAACTCCATGGCCCCCACCGTTTCCCCTCCTTTTTATCCTCCCTACCCAGCACGCCCTCATCCTCCCATTACTCCCATCCTAGTCCTCCCTTCTTCACAGTACCCCCAAAATGCCAGTTTCTCACACCTGATCTCCAATTGCAGCAGATCCTCTGCGCTTCAAATAACTCTGTTACTGATCTCCTCCAGAATCCCCACTCAACCACCTCACTTCTCCTCATCCTCTCCTCCAGAGAATTCCCCTGCCTGGAATTCTCCTGTCTCAGCCCACAATGCACTTCTGATACTCTACCCCACCAATTTCCTTCTCCCTCGCATTCTCCAGCCCCTGGAACTCCTTTCTTTTGGAAGCTACCATGAACTCCCCCCATATTACCTCCAGAACTCTTCCCCATCCACCCACCAAGAAATCCACTTCACTCCTTGGAACTCCCCAAATTCCACTTCTTTTCAGAGCCCCCACGCTTCCCCTTGCCCCCCATAACTCCGCACTGCTCCCCGCCAGCACCCCACTTCTATCGCCCAGGACGCCCCCACCCTCACCTGCTCAGCACCGCTGGACTCCGCTCTAGCAGCCACACAATAGGGGGCGGACCCGCCTCCCCGCCTCGGATGCCCCGAGCGCCTCCCGTCGCCCTGGAGACCGCCAATCCGCCCCCCTGCACCCCTTCCTGCAGCGACCAATTGGAACGGATAGAGGCCTGGCAAGGCGGGCGGGACCCCCGAGCCGCCTGGGAGTTGTAGTTTCAGGAGAGAAGGACTCGGTCGCACGTGGGCTCAGGTCGCCCCCTCGTGGAGCTCTGCATAACCAAGAGTGGGGAGGCGGGTCGCCACTTCCCGCTAAGACCCACAGAGGCGATACCTGATCATGCCTGTGACCCTGGGGCCGCAGAAGCTCGCAGCTTTGCAAGCCCTCCTTTCTTTGTAACCTACCTGCGACCCTCTGCCCTCGCGAACCAGCGAGCCACAACGGCAACTTCTAGGGTTGAAATCTGAGCCAAGGGGCAGGACTCTCCGCCCCTCTCCCAGGGATCCACCCAGGTCCCGGGCTCATCTGCTCTCCTCCCCAGTCCCCATCCCTACCTCCACCCATTTCCTCTCTTGTCCGACTGGAAATACCTGTCTGCACTGGCGCGCTCCCAGATCTCGTCCAGGCGCCTCCCTTGTGTAGCTGGGGAAAGCTGCGTACTGAGTTTGGGGGTGCCAAGTTGGTTCCCCAGGTATCTCCCAACACCAGCGACTCAGAGAAACAGACCCAGAGGGGAGGAATGACATGCATCCTGATAACAGAGATGGAAGGGGCAGGGGAAGATGAAATAATTGATCCTTTACTCAACTCCAGCAGAGTGCCAGACCCTGGGCTAGATGCTTTATAATACACTCTTACATAATCTGCACAAAAACCCTGTGAAGTGGGTCCATTTAATTAATGAGAAAACCGAGGCCCAAACAGATGAAGTAACTTGCCCAAGACTTCCCACCTAGGCACATGCGGAACTACACATTCAGACCCAAACTGGATTTCAAACCCACTCCCTTGGAGAATTCACCCCCAGGCAAAAGGATATCTTACATGCCTGCTCCTCACAGATTTGTACTTGGAGCTGCTATAAAGATGTAGGTTTATTATTTGCTTTCCCCACCAGGCTGTTGCCTGTCCAGGTATTTCCCATTCAGTGTGCTCCTCTGGAAGCCTCCCTGAAAACAACACACAGTTCTCACCTCAATCCAAACAACTACTGCTCAAACCTGGCATTTAATTCATGGGATCAAATGGCTTCAAGGTCAGGAGAGACCTTGTAGGATGGACATCAACACTACTCTACACCAGAATTCCTGCCACATCATCACCTCCAAATGGTCACCCACCCTCTACTCATGTTCTGGCCAGGAAGCTCTATATTCCTGTGGTAGGAATTCCATCTTTAGAAAGCCCTGACTGCGGGACCATTCTGTTGGGGCCAGCTTGGCTATTTTCCTGGGATTTACTGTGTCTGGTATTCACCATGATTTCCCCACTCTGAGTCTACAAGCAGCTTTCTGCCAGCTCTGCAGAGTTGCAAGCCTCTACCTAGCTCTGCACAGTTTCCTGTAACTGTGAGCACATTCTGTAGGAGGTTGGCGGACAAACTCTGTAAGTATTTAACCCAGGTCCTGACACAGATTGAGGCTCAGGGCTTTGAGAAATTATCTCCCCCGAGTCCACTAGCATAATAAACTCCCTGCTTCCTATGAAAATGGTCTTGGTGACTTTGTTTCCATTGCTGCTTCCCACAACACTCCTTCCAGGTGTAAATGTTCACCTTCTGCAAGTGACTTAAGAAGTACCCCTCTTTGCATGGTCTTCTACCACTCCTCTAGTAAAGGTCCCCCACAGTGGTAGCTTTGCAACATTGCTTTACAGTGCCCTAATAGTTGACAAGGCTATAATGACATCATGTTAGTGAACATAGAAAATATTGATTTCTTTGCTCCTCACCAACCAGGAAGAGAACCAGCCCCACCTCTGGTCCAAATGGTTCATTTCTGCTATCTGTGATGGTTTCTGGAGGATAAACTTACCTCATTTGGACATTAAAATGGCTTTTTGTAGAGTGAGATTTAAAATGGCTTTCAATTTTTAAAGGCTTATGATATGTTCTTTTTTTGGAAGCTTATTTTATGAATTTTATTATTATTGTCATTTCATATGATTAAAATATACCTTGTAGGTTTTTGATAAGAAAAGGAACTTAGCTCTATAACATTCCCTTACTATCCCAGAAGTGAAAGTTGATTAAAAAAATAATAATAATCCCCCAAATTCAAAACTAAATATTTTGAACTTTAGTTTGTAGTAAACGAGCTTCGCTAGCTTGTCCTTGTTCCACAGTCATTATTCTCTGGGAAAGCTTATTCAATTAAGATTTCCATCTAAGTATCAGCCATGGTATATACTCTCAATTTGCTGACAAGAGTATCAGAAAACGGGGATTCCGGGGAATCTGCTAACAACATATCCTTGAGCATGATTCTCTCGCCATATGAGAAAAGAGATTGGTTTCTCATTTTTGCTATTAACTCTGCGTGTTTTTTGTCTCAATGAGACACTATGCCTCCATAAGGCTGTGGATCTTGTCCTGAATTATCCTGCATCCCAGATTCTCCAGCCTGTTTTCTCACCCAGCCTTTCATCACAGGGTGTAACCCTATGGTCTCTAGAGTTACTGTGCTCTTTCACAAATCAGTGTCTTAGCACTTACCCTCTGTCTGGCTAGAATGCCCTTATTGTCTTCCCCTGAACTCACTGATGATCACAGATGAAAATTCTTTTGCCCTGTTTCCTCTAGGACATCTTCCCTGGCCTCTCCTGACATGCTGAATTCCTAGCCCTTGTAATTATGTCTTCATATATTCTGCAAGAGCTCTTTGAAGGCATACAGTGTTCTGTCTCTCCAGTCCTAGTCCAATTCCTGACACTTAGTAGGTACTTAAGTATTACTCTCTTCTCCAAGTTTGCTTTCACCTATTTCAAATGGTGGAGAGTAGGCATTAACCCAAGACAAAATTCCAGCAAGAAAGTCAAAGACATGGAATCATCAGGGTTAGGGTTAGGGTTAGTGTTACCAACACACAGTACCAACCATAAACAGAAGTCAAAGCTTCAAGAACTCAGCTACTGATCCAGCAAGGTGTCACCTGTATGGGGCAGCTGATGTCAGGCAAATGAGAGTGATCACCTGGCTCCGACCCACAGTAGGACTAAACTAGGGTCCTTCCCACCTCTCTGTGGGTCAGCTTCCAGACAGGGTATGCTAGATGGAGTAGTTTGGTAAATTTATCTGGGAGAATGGGAGCAAGCAAGCAGAAAAATGTTAGCACATTTTTAGGCTAACATTTTTAGGCCTTAGGATTCTAAGGCCCGAAATCCTACTGTTTAGGAGTCAGTTATGTTAGGAGGGCTCTCACTTATCTCACATAAAGCACATATGACACATGTGGGTGGGGACGGGGATGGCCATAGTAACAACAAACACCTCACTCTGAAGGTCCACAAACAGCCCTGAAAAAGCACATGGACTTGGGGAGCACACCTGGAATGTAAGATAAATGTAGGGAGCAAGTTTTTCATAGCCACAAGGACAGAAGAATCAAGAACAGCTCTTCAGAGGAGTGGACACTTGAATTTATTGCCAGATAGCTTCCCTCAGGGAGTATGGCCTTTTGGGCACCCACCCCAGAAGGTTCCCCTCCTGCTGCCTCCAGTCGAGGTTTCCCTGGGGGCTGAGAAGAAACAAAGTTCAGATCAGAGTGCCCCAAGGGGCAATCAGACTGGGCTAAGAGCTGACTTCCCCTTCTTCCTCAGTTTCATTCTGTCTCTCTTGAGTTTCCTCATCCTTGGCATTTCACAATTTTTCTTGGCTTGGATCACCCAAAGCCCCATGGCTAGAATGACCAAAAGCAAGAGGAGGAGCAATCCCTTGGCCACGAGGCAGAAGGACATTGAGGACCTCTCAGGATAGGCAGGATCTGGGATAGAAGAAGGAAGAAGGAAAAGGTCTCATCAGGAGGAGTGGTAAATTAAGATTACGGGCAGACAGGATCTCAGGTTCGCAATCATTGATATCTCTTTGCAAGAATCTCTAGAAATATATATTCTAGACATAGAAGCTCAGGAACAGAGATCTGGGGAGCAATCTCAAACCAAGTGAGAGAAAAGACCTCAAGAGTTGAGAGAACCAGATAGGGAGGGGCTCCTCCCCATCCATGTATCACATCTCTGTAAGAGGCAGTTAGGTTCTGGAATCCACGTACCTTATTAAGAAGACCTGGGAGTGGAGGGGATCATATTGTGCCCTGTGGCAGGTATCTTGTGTGAGCTCAGGTTTGTCTTTGGGTGCTGGTACCTGCACAGAAGGGCCCAGCAGGGATGGGATGGGAACTGATGTTGCTGATGGGGTTGCTGGCCCTGCAGGTGTAGGAAAGGGCATTGTCACCAGGCCTCCAGGATGTGCTGAGAATGGGGCCTTCATGTTCTGCATTAGGGTTGATGGGGTTGCCATCCCCTGATGAGAGCCATCTGTAGGTCACATCTATGCCTTCTCTCTCTACAGAGCATGTTAGGGACATATTACAGGCACCTTCACTGGAGATCTCAAAGTTCACAGTGATTCGGGGCTCTGACAGCCATCCTGAATGAGAGGAAAACACAAAGTTAGCTCACTAAACTATCAGGGGTTTGCATCTGTTTTCCAAAGCAGCTCAACTGTGGGGGTACTGGTGCTGCCTTGAGAGCCCCTTCATCCAAACAACAAGTAAGAAAAACTAAACAAAACTGGCTACAATAAAACTTGTGGTTCCTGTGTCCCCAGAGCAACTGCTAAGGTAGACAGAGCTGCCAGTGGCATTTTCTGCCTCCCCTTATGCCTTCTTGCTCTTCCTTTTATAGCCTACCTTCCTCCATTCTGTCTCACTGATGCCACAAAATATTATCACCCACTCCCAAGGGCATTTATATGTTAATAGGGTCTCTCTAGGATTCAAGGTAGATTCAATGTGACAAGCACAAGGAAGAAATTTAAAGCAGTAGCCCTCAAATTATGTAGGAGAATAAAAGACTCCATAAGTGTTCACCACCAGGATGCACAATCTCACTAACAGAAAAAGTTCCCTTAGAAGACCTCATGGAAGGACTTGACATCTCCATGAAGTGCTTCCTTGCTTCAGCTCATCCACCTGTTGCTACAGTACAGATTCTGGAGCTGGACACATAGTCCTAGACCCTCAAAACCTAATCCTGAATCCCAAGACTCCTTTTTCATGGCATGAGAAAGTTCAGGAGAACCAGGGGGATAAAAAGGAGTCTAAACTCACGGTAGACATGTAGATTGTAGTGCTGCTTGGTAAAGAGCTGGGATGTCCTCAGGTTGACTTGAACTTGGTAAATTCCTGAGTCCTTCCAGCTCAGATTGCTGATGTGCAGTGAGTAGCTAGGTTCTAGAAAGCTCACTCGGCCCTGGTACCGAGGGTCAGTCACCTCCAGTGTAGCAGGCCGTCCTTCTTTCTCTGGTACCACTGTCGCAAGTGTTTCCTGAGAATACCAGATGATATTCTCAACTTCTTCATCAGATGGTATTTCCAAAGGAAGACTGATGGACTCCTGAAGGATTGCAACTATTTCTTCAGCGTCCTCACTATCTCCAGAGTATGCTGTAACTGCAGATGTAGGAAGAAAAGAGATGGAAACAACCCAGCTGGTGTCCCTAGGCAGCTAAGTCTGGAAGAAAAAGCTGTGGATTCATCTCAGTTGAGTAGCTTCTATGGCCTCCACACTCAATCCTGTCCTCCAGCTGCCTCTTCTGGCTCTAGATTTCCACTGCACCTGAGTTAAGCACCTATCAGGGATGGCGCCAATTTGTTTCTTCATCCTTGAATTTTTTTTTCTCCTTTGTCACCCCAAGTCTGCTTCCCCTTCCTTATCCACATATGTCCTTTCTTGATCCTGCCCTGAATCCATACCCTGTTCCTTATATCCAGGAAAATTGACACATTCATCACCAAAGACAAGATCATGCTAGCCCAGGGCTCAGCAGAACAGGAAAACTGAGGGGAAAGGAGATAGTCCTAGGCAGGAGCAGATAGTCACTCACCTTCCCCTAGCAGCAGGAGGAGGAGCAACCACAGAAGAGACCTCATGTCAGCAGACCGACCCAGGGGAGGTGACTTGGTCAGCCCCCCACTCTGTGAAGAAAATAAGCTGTTAAGAAGCTCCTAGAGACAGAGTGACTGGTTGGCAGAAATCAGAGAGGGAAATCATCCTACCCATACTTCCTCTGTCCTCACTAAGCCCCTCCCTATCCTCCATGGAGATAGTTCTCTCTCTGAGCCTTATTAACTATATGGTTTATCCACTGACTCTTGCTGCTCATCCACCAAACTCATCTCAAATCCCACTGCATAATGAAGTCTTTCTAAACTTCCTGCCCTCTCTATGTCCAGCCCTCCACATGTACCACATGCTGTAGCCTGATGTTTGGTCCATCAGTATACTTTGTCTCAACTCTCTTGGAGTTTCTATATTGCTGTGACCGTTTAAGCTTATAACATCTTTACCTCTCCAGAAAGACTACATCTTTTGCTTCCTCTGTATTGCTGGCCTTGCTAGACACACATTGGCACTCAATTGAAGATGGATGAATGAAGTAAATCTTCCTAGTTAAAACCAGTTATGTTGCCAATTTAGATACTATTCAGAAAGTGGAGAACTTTTATCTTCTTCTTAAAAAGTTTGGACCAGAGTTTATCTCTGTTGTTAGTATTATAGAGAGACTTTAAATCATTCAAATTATCCATGTTGTTCAAAGCTATATAGGAAACCAGATGCAGGAAAAGATTGCAGAGGATAAAGACAGAAAAGATTTCTTCCCAAAAAGGAACACTTATACACTGTTTGTGGGAGTATAAATTAGTGCATCCATTATGTAAATTAATATAGAAGTTCCTCAAGAAACTGAAAATAAACTACTATATGATTCAGCTATCTCACTCCTGGGTATACACCCAGAAGAATCAAAGTCAGTTTACTATAGAAATATCTGCATGCTCATGTTTATTGTGGCACTATTCACAATAGCCAAGTTATATAATTAACCTAGGTGCCCATCAATGGATGAATGGCTAGCGAAAAGGTGGTAATATGCACAATGGAGTATTATTCAATCATAAAGAAGAATGAGATCATATCACTTGCAGGAAAATGGATGGAACTAGAGTTATTCATGTTAAGCAAAGCAGTCCAGACTCAGAAAGACAATTATTGCATGTTTTCTCTCAAATACAGACTCTAAGTATGTTATATGCATGTATGAAAATGTTATAATGAAATTCATTATTTTGTGCAATTAACATATGCCAATAAAAATAGGTTTTTGTAAGAAAGAAAAGTTCCCTGCCAAGCAGCAGAGTTGTCCAGGATGTAATGGATTGTCTTGGGGGAAGGTAGTTCCTGTGCCTAGCTTCAGACTGCATGTTCTGCAACATCTCTGGGATCAGATGGATCCAAGACTAGATAATCGTTAATAAGTTTCTTCTAACACTCAATTCTGTGAGCTTGTGCTGTGATGAGGAAGCAAGAGTGGTGTCTCAAGATCCAGAAGACAATGGAGGCAGATAGTTCCGTTCTGGTTCTGTACCAACATTTCATATCTTTAAGTCAGAAAATTCAGCACTTGTGCAAACGTTTCCTTGAGCAGATTCTTTGGCCCACACACTGACCTAAGTGCTGGACAATTATCAGTGACCAGTAGTTTTAGACTGTGACTTCTTGGGTCTTACAGATTAACAACTAACCTTGGACAAGTAGCTACAAATTTGATGGGTCTTCTCAAAGGAAAAATTGGAGGAGCCTACAACAAAGAGATTTAGCAAAGTTGGAGTCAGGAGGATTAAGGAAAAGTTATCAAGGAGAAATGCTAGGCTAAAACTTCAAGAAGTACAGAATACTCAGAAATGGCTGAGAGTGAATTTTAAATATTCGTACCACAAGAAATAAGTACATGAGGTAATGCATGTGTTAATTAACTTGATCTAGCCTTTCCACAATGCATACACATTTCAAAACAACATGTTGTACACGATAAGTATATAGAAATTGTTGCCAACTAAAAACATTTAAAAATAAAAAATTAAAGCAAGAGGAAAAAAAGAAAACAAGGTCATATGCACAACATCCAGAGATTAAAGGGTGAGTGTATCAGTTAGCTTCTCTGAGAAGCAGATGCTGGAATTAGGAGTAAAAGTGGCTTAATGCAGGTGGGTAATTCCCATAAAAGATAAAAGGGGAAGGGGAACAGAACTGAGCAGGGAGAACTTCTCACAGTCTCTGCTATCTCAATATGGAGCTGTGGCACATGGTTGCCCAGTAGAGGAGGATTGTGTTAGGCAGGAATGCCTAGGTACTAGCATTCATGGTACAAGAATGTCCAGGCCCTAGTGCCCAGTCCATGTGTGATTATTGGCGGGGGCTGCCTAGGAAGAGCATGGACCTAAAGGTGCTACAGCTGGAGTCTGTCAGTTCACTACACTCCTTGCAGCTGACAGTTAAGTTTTCTCTTGAAGAGAGAGCCAAGGGACATCCTCATGGCTGCTACAGTGCCAAAGGAACTGTGCTCAGATTTACTGAACCAGTCTCCACATGTAAGCATAAGCAGTTCAGCATGCCTATCTGTAAGAGGAAAATGATTACCACCTCTAGTACTCTCTAGGCCTTTCCAGTCCAATGTGGAGAAAGTTGTTTCTCAGAGCATGATTTTCAAGCAATTTTCATTACAGCTTGTGGATTGTGAACCCAAATGCAACTTCATTTCTCTCTCACTGCATCTTTAATCTTACTCACTGGGAGTCTATCCCTGCCCTGAATGAGAACTCTGCCCTTGGTCTCTGCTCTCAGTTCAGAAATAAGAATTTCCAGTTACATGTAACATACAAAACTCCAAACTTAACTTACAATGAAACAATCTCCCCTTCTCCTGGCCTGAGTCTGTTTGGGGCTGGGACCCTGCAATGGGGGAGGGGAGGCCTTTCTGCCCTCCTTACCTTCAGCTCATTTCCCCACTGCTCCCCTACAACCATCTCCCCCAACTCATGATTCTTGCTCCAGAAGTATGGAGTGTGGAGTGTGGTGAGGGTGGAAAGGTGGGGGGTGATAAATTGCTCTTATTTGGTTGAGTGGCTATGTACTCTGTGGGCCTAGCAGCTGGTTAAGAGGAAGTATTTTCTGTTGAGGGGCAATTTTGCTGATTAAGCATTTCCTTTGGTTCTCTCCATGGCCCTCAGTGAATGTACTTTATTACAGATGGTCTTTTGTAACTCCTTCCTCAGCCCACTTCCAGACTCCCCCTACCCTTCAGGTGTCCCTATTGTGGGGTACCCTAGGCAACCAAGCAGGCTGTGTCTCACCATGGCCCTAAGTTGCCCACTGCAAACCTTTCTTCCCTGATAGATTCCAGAATCTACATCATAGCACATGTTCCTGGCTCCATAGTAGGGGTCAGATCTTAGTCCACAATCAGTTTTAACTCTTCTAGGCCTATCTTAGGCTCCTGTCCTCTCAAAGTCTCATCTACAGGCATACATTTCAAAGCTTCACAAGTCTTCCCCTTAAAGTCCTCCTCATCTAGACTATTGTCAGAGGAAACATCACCTATCCTTGGAGAAGAATGGGGACTCATAGTAAAATAACAGTTTTTCCAAAGAAGTTTCTTTTCTGATCACCTGTCATCCCTTAATGGATAAGGGGCTCCAAAAGCAGTGACATCGGATCTTCTTAATTCCCATTGTAAATTCTGCAAGAGGGGAGATCTCCCTCATATTACCTTTGATCTCTCTCTTTTTTCCCGTTAATTTTTTATCAGGATATATTGGTTGTACAGGGGGGACTCATTGTGACAATTCCAAATAGGCTTTTATTGTACATGGGTTAGATCACCCTCACCAACTCTCCCCCTTAACTCCCTCCCCACTTAAAATTATTGCAGAGATTTCTTTGTTCTTTTTCATATAAGTATATGAAGTCCATCAACAATATTCCTTCATCTTAATCTCCTTCATTCACTCTCCTCCCTCCCACAAGAACCCCCCCACATTTTACCTATTTATAGTTCTGTCTTTCATTAATATCTAAGTCGATGTTCAAAGGAATTTCTCAATGTATCCCTGCTATGGGTATACTTTACTTTTGTCCATTCAATCCCTTCCATTATTCTCCCTTACCCCTTTACCTCTCATCACCCATTTTTCAACAGCCTTCAATACACGTTCTTATATCCTCTACCTTCACAGGTGTTATGTTTTACAATATTGATGTTCTATCATTCTCTTTTCCTTTCCCTCCTTTCCCAAATTAAATAGAGTAGTTCCACTGTTACAAACATGTTCTACATATGAGTTTCTCTATGATCATGTTTGTTTTTGTGTATGTTTATCTTTTGGGTCTGTCTTCTATGTATGAGAGAAAACATGTGGTCTTTGTGTTTCTGAGCTGGCTTACTTCACTTAACATGATGTCTTCCAATTGCATCCATTTACCTTCAAACCACGTGTTGTCATTATTCCTTTTGACTGATTAAAACTCCATTGTGTATCTATATCACATTTTCCTGATTCATTCATCAGTTGTAGGGCATCTGGGTTGTTTCCATAACTTGGCTATTGTGAATAGTGCTGCAATGAACATTGGTGTACAGGTGTCTCTATTGTATCCTGACTTATGTTCCTTTGGGTAGATGCCCAGAAGTGGTATCACTGAATCATATGGCAGTTCTATCTTCAGCTTTTTGAGGAATCTCCATACTACTTTCCATAGTGGTTATACTAATTTGCATTCCCACCAACAGTGTATAAGGGTTTCTGTTTTGCCTCATCCTAGCCAGCATTTGTTGTTGTTTTTGCCCTTAAATATGGGCATTCTAACTGGAGTAAGATGAAATCTTAATATAGTATTGATTTGCATCACTTGTATAACCAGTGAAGTTGAATACTTTATGTATTTATTGACTATTTGTACCTCTTTCTTTGATAATTCCCTATTTAATTCATGTGCCCATTTCTTCATTTGGATGTTGACTCTTTGGAGGCTGAGCTTTTTAGTTCCCTATAGATTCTGGATATTAGTCCCTCATCAGATGAATAGCTGGCAAAGATTT